CCATTGTTGGCTTTATTGACCCCCTCCATTGTCTTCCTGTCCTTTTCAGATTTTTGCTTTAGTCTTCTATTGCTTCCTTTTTTTTTTTTTTTTTTTCTTTCTTGCTTTCAGTTCTCTCTACTCTTCTATTTCTTCTGTTTTCTTAAGGTAAAGGCTAGGATCATTGATTTTAGATCTTTTGTTTTTTCTGATTTAAGGATTCAAAGCTGTAAATACCCTCCAAGTAGCTTTTGCAACAGATTTAGAAATACTCTTTCATTTTCATTTAAGAAAAAACCCCATTTTTGAGACAGAATCTCACCATGTAGTCCAGGTTGAATTTGAAGTAGCTGTATAGAGCTTAGAATCTTTTCGGCTGTCAGTGAAAGTGTTTTTTTTTTTTTTTTTTTTTTCCAGAGCCGGGGATTGAACTCAGGCCCTTGTGCTTGCCAGACAAGCACTTATTCAACTGAGCTATCTCCCCAGCCCCAGTGAAAGTGTTTTCTAACTTCCCTTATAATTTCTTCTTTAATCCATTTACTGTTAGAAATGTGTTAATTTCCAAATTTTTGGAGGCTTTCATATACCTCCTGCTAGTGCTTAAAATCTCTGGAGTGAAAGGCAAGGAGCAGGATCAGGTTCTTGTGTATGCCAGGTCAGTTCTCTGCCGCTGAACTACATCCCCAGGCTGCATGATAACTAATTAATGTAGTTGGGGTCAGAAAACATACTTTCTGTGATTTTTTTCTTTTTAAATTTTCAGACTTGCATTATGGCCCAGGATATAAAAACTATTTTGTTGAACATTTTCTGTGTACTTAAAAACAGTGTGTGTTTTGCTATTATAGAAATAATGAGGTCAGGTTGTTCTTGGCTTGGCCCAGTATTTTTTTTTTTTTTTTTTTGGTGGAACGGGGAACTGAACCCAGACCCTTACGTTTGCTGGGGAAGCACTTAGTCTACTGAGCCATCTCCCCAGCTCCTTGGCCAAGTATTCTTACCTGAAGTAATTTTCTGGCTACTTGTTTTTCACCTTCTTGTTAGAGGACTTGAACTCACACACAAGATGAGGTTATCGTGCCAGATTGACTTGACCTAGAGCTTAGTGCTAGCCCTCATTACTTAACTAGCTTTAAGGGTCTAAGTAATCAAGTGGTACAGGCAAAGCAGGGTGAGATGTGAGACACACTGTGTTGCTTTCACATTCGTTGTTTTGTGCGGCCTAGTGGGAGAGACACCATCTCACAGTGAGGTATACAGTCACCTCACGCTTAACATGTGTAATGTTTCCATTTTATAGTCTTGAGTTACAGACTCCAGTTTTAAGTAGCTGGAAGACAGTCACATGAATGAAAATAATTCAAAGGACTCTGGGCTTCCAATTAAGTCTTAAGTTCACTTAACAGTAAAGACAGTGGTAATTTAATAGTAGATTAAGTTACCTCCTACCAGCCCTCTGACTGGTACACTCCCAGTGGTGGGATGAGAGTAGGGCCTCCAGTACCTGTGTTCTATCCAGTGCCTGCCAACACCATGAGGTTTAAAAACCTCTGAGTGGGGGCTGGGACTGTTAGCTCAGTAGTGTAGCACTCCCATCACCCCGCCCCCAAAATGCTCAGACTGAAGCTGCTGTTCTGGTATAAGATTATAATCCCAGAATTTGGGAAGCTGAGGCAGGAGGATCACCTTGAGTTCGAGGCCAGCCTGGGCTGCACAGTTACTTCAAGACTAGCCTGAACTGAATAGTGAAGCCCATCTCAAAACCAAAACAACCACCACTCAGACCCTGGACTGGCAGCCACCACACACAGTACCACTCCTCCACAGATGCACCTAAGATGCATAGTGTTTCCTTGTATAGCCAGAGAGCCATGGGCTTATGTTGAGCTTCATAGGTTAGGGTTATGTGTCCCTGGGAGTGAGTGACGCCCTATACTGCATGGTTTTAGGTGTGCTTACCAAAAACAAATCCCAGGCTAGCAAAAGCTCGCTAAATACATTTCCTAGATTAGAAATACTTCTCCTAGCAAAACTTGTAGTTTGTTTATAATATATCTGCCTCTACATCCCCGAGGAAATTGGGCCCAGCCCCCTGGCTCTCTTTTTTTTCCTTAC